CCTGTGGGAGCGCCAATCGAAACGTTTCGAGAGAACTTCTCTCGATCGGGCTGTGCAGCGAATGCAAAGAGCAATCGATCGTCGCGCCCGGTTCTCCGCCACTTTCCATTTCAATTTGTCTCGGACTAGCATGAAAAACTTGAATGACGGTGTTGAAAAAAAAAAGTCACCGCGTCTCCTCGAGAAGAACCCCATCCTCCTCTGCTCAATGGAATAGGAAAAATGGCATTTGCTCGGAGGAACTTCGTAACTCCGGAGCATAATGAAAAGGGATAAAAAAAAACTTGACGCATGAATAATAATGATTGTCGCCACTATGTGCCGGGTTCTCAGTATGTTATTGAGTTATTCCAATGCGAGGTTTATCAAAGTGGGTCAAGCGACTCAATACGAGTCCGCATATATAACAACGCGAGGAAAAACGACGTTCACGCACGCGTGGGCGTATATATAACATATTTATATGCAGCAAGTTATTACAGTAATATTTACAAGAATTATTTTATATACCGCGTGGTATTTAGTACAGGCGAGATTCTGGAACAAATGTTTCTTGATGCATTTCTGGGAAACTTTCAAAGGTTGTGAAGAATTAACGATAGTCAAGTATTTTTCAGTATTCTCGAGAACACACTAGAGAGTTGGAAATTTTAATTCATCAGACTATCATAATCGGCTCGATTAGATGAATTTATTTACAAAATAATGTTTTTCAACGTTCCTTTCTTTTAAGTGAATAATGGTAATTGCTCAGACTTTCGGAAAATGTTCGATACCTTATGACCAAATTAATTACAAATGTTAAGAAAGAATTCGTTTTGGCGTTTCAAATAATCAAAACTGAATTAAAGTGCTTAAACATGATTTTGACGGAATTATTTCCAGAGGGGAAAATCCTTTTTTTATAACTGTTGAAAAAAACTCCACAATTCTCAAAAATGACAATTTTTCTCCCACTTTAATGAATTCTTCTCGAAAAGTAAACTTTCTAATCTCTATTCATGTCTTTAAATTATTCCTAAACAGTTCAGAATAGAGAATAAAGGAGTTCAAACGCTAGAAATTCTAAAATAATTACGAAATGTGTCACTTCGCCCACAGTTTAACTCCAAATGTTGATGATTTCCCCCAAAAAAGGCCAAACTACTCGAATATTCTTAGCAAAACATACTCTCATGTAGTTTTTCGTTGTTCAATAAAAAAATGATGAAACCACAAGAAAAAAATGTCAAGTAGTGTTGAGTAATTCAACTGGACTCATTCACCGCCTTCAACAATATTTTCTTCAATTAAGGAAATTGCAGACTTCAAACGAAAATTGTTAAATTATTTTCGGCCAATATTCTCCCGTAACATTTCAATCCTCTTTGCTTGGGTGTGGGCTTCCAGGAAGAGTACCCGTTGCGTTTATGGTTGTCTTTGTAACGAGAGATCATTTCGCTTTCCATCATTACGTCTCGAGGGACCCACTCGCGCGTACAGTCTCCCCCCAGTCGTAAAACCAAGAAGAATAAGTGAAAATTGTTTGCAAAAGGGAATTGAATAAAGGAGGAGTGAGGACGAGGGGGAAGTGAGTCCTCAAAAGGGTCCGACTCCCGGTGAGAGTTGGGTCAACAGTGTCAGGTATTGCACAACGCTCGGAGGGGCCAAGAGTGAGACGTCACCGTTGTATTTATCCTTTTGTTGATTCTCTGACAGGAGATTTCCCTTTTGCCTGAGTTTTACCCAAAATTGGGAGGCACGCGACGACAGGAAAACTTATGAGCCCTAAATTTTCATCTTAATGGGTCGTAATTCTTTCAAGCGGGGCTATTTAATTGGAATATTCGGCATTCGAAGGTTCCCTTTGAAAACAGGAATTCTTGTCGGATTTTACCATTCGATTTTGGAAATTACTGGACATTTACGCGTCTGCATTTCGTGACTTGATTATAATTTCACAAACTATTCCATTTCGCCCCGCCGTCCTCTACAATACAGCTAAATTACTACCTCGAAAAACTGATTTTCACGATGGAAAATTGATTGTTCATGAATTATTTATCGAACATGTAATCGTCAAATTTAAATTATTTAAACTATTCCTCAAAACGAAAGTAATGATGAAAAAAGTGTTTACACAACGAACTCATTGCAAAATGTTTGGTACACGGAGAGAAATATTCAATAAAAATTACGTATCTTTTCCGTAATTCCGGAGCGAAATGTGGTTGTAGGAAATTTTACGGAACTGTCACGTAATTTTTTCGGAGTGTTCTGTAATTTTTATCTGAATCTCCTGTGAAAAATTACGATACCATCACTTAAATTTTCTGAGTCGATTCCGTAATCGGTGAGTGAATTATGAGTTCCGTAATTTTTACTGAATATTTCTCTCCGGGTAATCAAGGATCAAACGGGGCTCAGATGCAGTGGATTCCACACCAATAAACCTCAATTATCTCAACTAAATATTGATAGAGACCGGATGAATCAACAAAAGAGTCTCCTCCACAACAAAAAAAATCCTGGCAATTTCCGATATTTCCGTGTACATTGATAATATCCAACAATCCTAGAAACGTGCCAGCCACGCGTCTCCCCAAACCCAGTGATGACCTAGTCCGACCTCCATTTGCACTTTCACGGGGCACACTTTGTTGCCCTGTCGTCCTCATCCAGGGGCACTGGATAATCTTGATTTATAACCCACCAACATTAACAAACATGCAACGGAATAACGAATGCGTGCACAGAACAGCCGCCCCCAGAGTGGGGAAAAAAGGGGGGATTGTGGGGTGTGACCTAGGGAAGAGCTCGGAAAAGCGCAACAAGTGCAATTGACGCTCACCGGCAGGTAGATGTTGTCGATGCCATTGTCAACAGAGCCAGCGGGAGTTCTAACCCCTCGTAAACCTGTCGCTCGTGTACTTTTACTGCTACTTTTTACTCAACAACAGCTATGACATTTTCATTCGCCTTTTCCCATCGCCATTACGTCCACGGGGTATACTATTTTGCCACGCGACACCAGAATTTACTAAACAGAATTAGTTCCGCATGATTTTTTCAAGGGAAATTGATTTTTCGAGGTGGATGGGAGGGGGGAAAATGTGAGGAACAAAAGATGTTCGCGTCTATTGAAATGTGAAGGCACCTGCAGACCTAAACAGGTCCTAGAGCCAGTAATTTCGTTCCATCGTGCCCGATGAGCCCTTCCCCTTTTTTTTCCTTTCCCCTTCGATCCACCAGTTACATAATCCGGCGACAGATGTCAGTAAAGAATGAGCGCACGCTTTTTCGCCGAATAAAATCGATTAAAAAACGAGATTAAGAGAACGAAAAAAAAGACTGAAAACTGTTACAAAGACACAAATAAAGTCGACACAAATGTGTCGGTGCCCACTGTGTGTGGGCACATTGGCAAAATGAAAATAATCATTCTCGATTTCACACAGCCGGCATGACCTACATATCGGCAGCACATCCAAAATGCATATAAAATCCCTCGGCGAGTGTAACTCAGTCTCGCAGTGAAGGAATTGTAAAAAAAATGTATCCTGAAAAATGGTGACTCCCACTGTGGCTCGCAAGACATAACATTCATTCTCAAGCCGCAATATTTCTTTTAATCGTTGCTAAAAATAATATCCGCCGGTTTTACACATTAAAAATGAAAGAAGGCGCAATGACTCGAGGTAGGGGAGAGCCAGACGGCTTCTTTGTCTCTCGCCGTCACTTCCATCCCAACAAAAGAAGCGACTCAAAGAGAAAAAAGAAGCATTACGAGAATTCGCATGGCTCCCCCCGCTTGTTCATTCACCAAATGTTGCGAAATGTGTGCGAAAACGCGACGAAATTGGGGGAGAAAAAGTGCCTCTCTTTGTGCCTCGTGAGCCCCATGATGAGCCGTGGGATTAAAAAAATTGATAATAAAGAAAAACGAATCGTTTGATTGATCAATTTTAGAGAGCGCGAGTCAAAATTCTACAAAAATTTAAGCTGGATTCTTTGTTTCTGTTATTCCTCATATCTAACTAAAATCTATCTCCATAAAACCACGAGAAGGTGAAAGTGCTGATCAACGAAACAAGATTTTAAAAAACTACTGACAAAAAAAAGAATCACTTAATTGATCAATTTCAAAAATTGTGAGTCAAAATTCAATAAAATTTGAATTAGATTCTTTGTTTCTGCTATTTCGCAACTATCCTAATAAAACCTATCCCCATAAAATCTCTAAAGAATGAGAATGCCGATGAATGCGACAAGATTAAAGAAAAATTCAGTAGCGAAGTGGTAAAACGGTTCAAGTCGGCTTATCCCTCAGTTGAGTTTTTGAGGAATATTTCCGAATCCAAGGGAGGTAGCGAAATTTTTGTAATTACATTTGTTGTAGCTCTCAATCGGGTCTACAAAAAAGGTTCTATTGAAAATTTTGCTATCTCCCTTAGATTTCCAGATATTCATTGAAAACTGATCAATAGCCAAAATTGACTTGTACCGTTTTATCACTTCGCTACAAAATTAATTACAAGAGAAACCAAAAATCGCGTAAAAATTGTAAAAAAATCGTGCTATACTCTTTATATCTGTGATTCCCCACCAATCCCCCTAAACTCAATCCCCATAAAACCGGGAAAGGATGGCAGTGACAACTAATGAGACAAGCTTAAAAAAAATAACAACAAAATGAACCGAACAGCCCAATCAATCGATTCCCGAAGAAGCCACTCAAAATTCTATAAAATTCCGGCTATATTCTTTGTTTCTGCTATTCCCCAACAATCCCAATAACCCCAATCCCCATAAAACCTCGAAAGGGTGGGAGTGACGACCAATGGGGGACCAACGAGGCAAAAGAGAGGTTTGGCAAGCGGCGTTTCTTCTCCACACAGACAACAAAGAACAGAGCCTACCTCTCTGAATGACTCTCACACAGACCCACCCACACAGCCAACCGAGCCTAAACAAACCCCGAAAAAAAAAAACGAGAATCATTCATCCACAGAAACAATTACCTGTTTCACTCCGTACATCGGCAACAAGCGCCAGTCTCGCATCAGTCCCAGCCTGATGACTGTTAGACGTCAGTACCACGTTGTTAACCCCACCGTCGCTCATCTGCGGTGATGTCGATGATTCGGCCAGGCTCGTGCCCGTCTGCGCTGCCTCCATGGGCCCGTTAACATCGCCGACCGGATTTTCCATTCGATCCTCGTGCATTGCCCGAATTATCAATCACTCAACGAATTTATTCACAATGAAAAATGCCCGTCCCCCCCCCCACACACACACACACGCACCGACTCCCGTATTGTCAACGTATGTGTCCTTTATCACCAGTACTGACTCACACATTTAACTGTTACATGTAAAATTTTTTCTCCCAACTCCTCACTTTCCCTCTCTGTTCAATCCTCGAGACGTCTGCAGAAAAACGGAGGAGAGCCCACGCCGGTCCCGTCACACTGAGGATCACCTCACCTCCGGGCACGTCTCGATTACCCCCCCGTGCATAAAAAAAAGCCCACCAAATCAATGGGACAAATAAAATTCACCAGATCGATTGCACCAATGTCCCCACAACACTACTGTTTTTTCCTCATAATTTTTTAATGCCAAAAAACGTCTTTGTCCTCCACCACTGCTGCTCCTCTCGTCTTCTCATTAAATTAAGGAATAAAAAAAAAACGAGAGTGATTGTTCAACAGCCACTGAAATTCACTGGTCAATGAGTACTGATAAAATATCGCCGATGCTTGTGTTTACAAACTGTGTTGTTTTATTTCTCAACGTAGTGGTAAATAACACAGTTGTGGTTGGAGAAAAAAATTGGTGCGTTAGACAAATGTAGGTCTGTAGGCCACTTCACTTACACTTTGCATCAGGGGGAACGGGCGGGCACTCCCTTAGTCAAGCGAGCGTCCCACTGTGGCTCGAGGGATTCACACCGACACACGGGTTAACACCGTATTTATCAACGATCAGCGATATTAATCGATTATTCGCGTAATCCGTCCGCTTGTTGTCCCCGATGTTCCGGAATTACACGGGGAGCCGTTAATTGTTGGCCGGGGATTTTTATTCATCACTGAATTGGCAATATTTTTTATCCCCGGGGGCCTATCTTCGCCTGGCACACACACTTCTGACAGAAAATGCAACCAAACGGGATCCCAGGGACGTCTCCACACACACGCCGGAGGGCGACACCTATTTTATCCGAATTAAATACACTTGCCGGAAAAAGATTCCACCACTCTGCGCAGACGCGGGATTTAATTTCAGTTTTTAGGCGATTTTTTTTTTCGTTTCTGCACTCGTTTACTTGACTTTTCGCGGTAATTAACGACCTCGGGAATGCACTCGGGCTTTCGGGGTGAAAACCCTCTGATATTTATCGGGAATGTGATCGAAAGGGGAGGGGAGAGGGGGGTTTGGAGATAGGGTGCACTCGATCGTGTGGAATTCTTCGGCGCTTCGCGTTTCTACGTTTTACTGTTTCTCCGATTACGTAATAAAAATGAGGACGGTTTTATAGATATTTTGCGCTATGCGATTTATCGGTAGATTGGTTGCTCATGGGGGGCCGGAGGGGGGGGGG